CAACAAAGATTCAAGCGGAATGATAACAATTACTGCCTATACACGAAGCAATGAAAACATCACATCGTGTAATCTTGCCATTTACGTGGATAGCATAATCATCGTCTGCAAGTCATTAGATATAATCAATGAAGTGAAAAGTAGTCTCGACAATCGATTTTGCATTTCTAATCTCGGCGATCCTGTTATCTAGAAATACAAGTACGAAGAAACAAGACCGGACATTTCTCTATTAGTCAATTTGAGTATGTAAAGAAGCTTTTAGGAAACATGCGATTACTGGACTTTAAAGAATTAACCACACCGATAGAAAAGGGTTATATGAAACTTAGAGCTAATTTACCTGTAGTTGATAATAGTTATTATCAAAAATTTATAGGCGCATTACTGTACATAGTAGTCAACATAAGATCCGTCATAGCGTCAGTTGCGATTTTGAACCAATTCATCAAAGCCCCAAGGAAAGTCGACTGAACCAAGTTGAAGCGCATAGAACATTATCTAAAGCACACGAAAAACTATGAACTGCGCTTGAGTAATAACAATCACTAAAAAACATCACAGATGTAAAAAAAGTGCTAAGTTATATCTTTTACAAACAACAATAATTCTTTACAAAAAGTCGTAATTAAATATATTCTCTTCTCAAAAATTATGTTTATAGCCAAAATAATTCTTTGCAAAAATTAATCATCATCAAAAATATTTTCTCAAAAATTATAATTATAAATTATAAAAACTTTTGTACTTGGCTCGAATTATTGTGTTACAATAAAAATAAAATATCGACGGCAATCGGAGCCTGTGTGGATGTCATGCACAAAATTAAAAAATTAAAATGAGATCTCAAGTAAAACTCATTTATTAAAATCTAAACGTTTCGACCCACTTCAAGTCTTCTTCAGTAGCTACAACATACAAAAAAATTCAAGAAATCAAAGATAGTTGTTACAATTATAAAAATATAAAACTCGTATACATACAATCCGCAAAACAAATTAAATGTTATTCTACTCTCTATTCAAACTGTCCGGCCGTCGGAGTGTCTCCCTAACGGTGACCATCGTCAGAAAGGAAGCAGAGCACATAAGTGACTCCCTTACCAACACTAATCAAAGTCACAACATTATATAAATTAAACGTAGAAAAATCCACAAGAATTAAAACTTAAAAATCGGAGAGAGCACTCACCCCGAGAGTAAAAACAAAGAGAAGACGATGCTACACGTGACACATCACTCTAACGACTGTGCGGTATTCTATTTCGGCACAGTCGATACATATATATGCAAAAAAAAATAAAAATAAAAAATAAAAATAAAAATAAAATATAAAATAAAAACAACTAAAACTTATCGGCGCTCATATCGAAGGTCTAACAAAACTACGGATATGTATGATCACAGAGCTGAATTTTGGTAAATTTTTCTATTAAAAGATCAAATATATCATTTAATTTATCGGTGTCGCTGTGTAAATTTAAACTATTTCTCTGACGTTTTATGTGGATCATTTCTGATATCAAACGTTTACCTAAAAAAGGCTCCTCGTCTAAAACTTTTACATCCTCCCAATTAAAATCATGATTCAGTAATCTATGCTCCGATATGACTGATAATTGTGACGCCTTTCTTTTTATGTTGTTGCGATGTTCTTTCGTCCTAATTTTTAACAGTCTACCCGTCTGCCCTACGTACGACGCATCACAATCCATACAATCAATTTTATAAACTACATTGTTATGGAGTTCCTTTGGTAACTTATTTTTGGGGCGGCAGAGAGCAAGAGAGAGCGGAAGAGAGCGAGAGAGAACGAGAGAGAGCAAAAGAGAGCGAGAGAAAGCGAAGGAGAGCAAGAGAGAGCGAGAGAGCAAGAGACAGCGAGAGAGAGCGAGAGAGAGAGAGAGAGAGAGAGAGAGAGAGAGAGAGAAAGCGATAAAGAGCAAGAGAGAGCGAGAGAAAGCGAAGGAGAGCAAGAGAGAGCGAGAAAGCGAGAGACAGCGAGAGAGAGCAAGAGAAAGCGACAGAAGGCGAGGGAGAGCGAGAGCAAGAGAGAGAGCGATAAAGAGCGAGAGAGGGCGAGAGAAAGTGAAAGAGAGCAAGAGAGAGCGAGAGACAGCGAGAGAGGACGAGAGAAAGTGAGAGAGAGCGAGAGAAGGCGAGGAAGAATGAGAGAGAAAAAGAATGAGAGAGGGGGAGAGAGGCGAGAGAGAGAAAGCGAGAATTTATTTTTCGTTTGGTTGCTTAAAAGGTTAAGCAGCAGTGGAAACTGTCACTATATTGTAATGGGTGTCCGCGGATAAGGTAAAGCAGCTGAGGACAAAATCACTTTTTCGGGATGGGTGACCGCGGACAAGTACGACGCCGTAGGCGGACAAAAAAGTGACACATTTTTGACCAAAAAATAACTAAAAAAATTCATATCTTCGCAATCAATAGAGCTATCAAGTTCGTTAAAGTCTCATTTTACTCGGAAAAAATCGCGCTTTTGATATGGTCATCTTTTGAAAAATATGTTCCCGGTTATGAAATATTTCAAATTTTTGTTTTCAAGGTTACGAAAATCGTGTTACGTCTGGTAAAGGATACACAGTAGCGTCCTACGGATAATTTTCGCTATTGTTTCGATATTTTCGCTATCTTTTCGATATCTTTCGATATTTTTTTTTGTTTTTTTGTAGATTGTATTTTAATTTGACGAATAAAAGATATAACTTAGCGAGACGCTACCGCGTCTCCTGAAATATCATGTCCATTTTATTGTGGGTTTTGCAGATGCTAATTGGGCAGAAAATCACAAAGACAGAAAATCCAACGGCGGTTACGTTTTTAGATTAAACGGTAAGATGAAGCAATGAACTGTGAATGCCGTAAACAAGCATGTGTTGTATTATTCTCAACCGAGGCTGAGATTATTGCACTTGCAGAAGCTAGTCGAGATGCAAAATGGTTGCAAAAATTACTGAAAGATTTTGCCGAATTGCAAAAATCCAACAATTATATATGAAGATAATCGGAGTTGCATTAATAGGCTTAAAAATAGCGGCTGTTCTGCAAAGACAAAACATAGACACTAAATATTTTTACATGAAAGACTTAAAAATTAATAGAAAGATTAATATTATATATTGCTCTTCAGAACTGAATGAAGCTGATATGCTTACGAAACCAATTGGAGCAATTAAACTCAATATGTTATGCAAGACGATCGGATTAGAACCATGGAAAAAATACGAGGACGGACATCGTTGGAGGGTGACATACACATATACGCAAACAAAAAAGTACAACTAGGTACACATAAAGACACATACATATACGCATACACACACGCACACATACAATTTGACACAGCATGTATACGCACTCACCCAAACAGGATCGTAAACACAAGAAACATACACAAATAATCTGGGACTTTGTAACATACGTTATCAGTCAAATATAAGTTGAGGTAATGGATAGACGTGCCGAATACCAAGATCACAAAAAACTTGATTATAATATTTTAAACTGTATTACTCTGCATCTTTTTTCTATTGAGTCAAAGCGTAAGTTCAACATTATCAATAAAAACATTAGTAAAAAATCTTTCATTTTTAACAGTCATCTGAATTAAGCCACACTCAAAATCAACTGGTCAAAGTCCAAAGTAGTTTTTAGTTTCTAGCTTTGACCAATCATGTTAGTTTTTCTAGAAGGGAAACATACTCCCTTTTTAACTGTCGAAGGGAAGGGGGGGTTTCATGTGAATCAATCGAACAAAACTTTGCCAAAGCATAAAAAGGATGCTATATGCTTTCTCCCTAGTCTAAGGGAGAAGAGCGTGTGAATGGGTGATTCAGCACTCATTCCGCTCCAAGAGAGGAATCATTCTCTCCCGTGAGGGCGCGGCGTAAAAGTGTGGCCCTTCCGCACCGCAACAAAGAGGTAGGCCACGTCTCCCATACCAAAGGGAGAGGGATTGGAGCCGCAGCCAACGTCACAATGAGCAGTGATCCTACGAGCAGAGAAGGTGGGGTGCTCACCAAAAGTAATGCAATCGCTCGTTCCTGGAGGGCTCCCTACATACGTTCGAAAAGGCCCCACCGCAGGGGTTTTAATGGGTCGAGGGACGGTCTTAGTATTTCCTAAAACTCACATAACCTTGTTTTTTATCTCCGCGGGCATACATTTCCTTGCAGATTTCACGTGCATAAACAAAAAAAGGATTGGCTAAAAACAGCAGTTAAAAACCGAAAACAATTTCGGGCTTTGACCAAAACTTGGTTATTCCGCATATTCACCAGTTAATCCTAGGAACGTCCGCGTAACGGGCTTAGACTATAACATCTGGGTTTTATTTGATAATTTATTATGCTAACAATTTTTTATAAAAAATAAAGTTTATGAGAAATAAAATATAAAATCTATTTATTTTTTCTATCCTTGTTATTTACGATAAGAGCGTTTCATTAATATTATCACACGCTGGCTGTAAATATGCGTGTTTCATTAGTATACATAGAGACGAGAGAGGTATATCGGTTCGTTAAGGTGTCTGAATAGCTCATCGTCAATTGGGAAGAGTAGTCGCCCGGTAAGCGAAAGGTCTCGGGTTCGATTTCCGATTCAGCCGTCTTTTTCAAACCGATATATTTTTCTCGTTTACATCAATTTAGGGGGGTAAAAAGAAGAGGATTTCAAATCTCAATTTAGAGATTGTTCCTTGTCTTAGCAAATTGCTAAGTATTAGGCTTTTTACAGCAATATATTCTTTCTATCCTTAAAATTTATGTACTCGTATTAATTAATTGTAATTATATTTTACTAAAATTTAATATTTAATTTGATATTAATAAAAAATATTTTAAATAGTTATTATATATACAATCTACAAAATATGTATAATCAAATCTCTATAAAAAACGGCTTAAAATTAGTCAAAAAATTTTACTATATAAAATATATGTATATTAGTAAATAATCATTTCACATATATTAAATATATTATTCACTTACCTTTCAGCAAGAATTAGTGCAGAAATTATGCTTTTCTTCAAATCAAATATTGCTGGTGTATTCCAATTGGTCACTGAATAGATGTGACATTGTGAAGGTGTAATAACAACTAAATGACCAAAGCCAAATTCGAGGTGTACAACACGATCGGAGATTTCTAATACTTCATGAACTTCGTTGCCAACTTCTCTAACTTCAATCACTTTTCTTCTTATCAATGTGACTTCGTAATTATCCCATTCTAATTTCCTAAAAAATTTATTATTAATTTATTAATATTATTTATACTATATATAATTAGAAGACAAAGAATATAAGGTGCAAATAAAATATGAATTTATGCTAAATTATCATCTCTATAAGATATTAATAAAAAAACATTAACGTCAAACGTTTCTTACCCGTTTTTAATGAATTTTGAGTTTGTTGTAATTTAGATCATAATAAAAGACAAATTTTTAAATTTATTGTTTAATTGTTATTTAGAAGATGAAATATTTTATTGAAAAAGATTAATTATATTTCTGAGCCAAAACATACCATTAAAACGGTAAAAATATTAAAAATTGTTTTTAATAAAAGTTCTTTAGTTTTCATTGTATTTTTAATATATTTTTAACAATATAAGATTTTTTGCAAATATATTTTTAAAAATCCCCTTTTTTGTTCAACATTTTTAAAAATGTTAAAAATGGCCTAATGGTCAAAAAGTAAAACATGTTAATGCCAAATTTATCTGTATGTATGTAAAGTTATAGTCCGATTAAATGTATCCCGAAAATTCTGTAGAAATGAATAAGAAATTTTGTCTATGTGCGCATGTGCAGACCATGGAAAATTGTGTATCTTTTATGATACTTTCTGTATAAAGCCGGGATTACGATGAACTTGACGTTATAACTTTCTGTATAACTTAGTGTCTCTTTATTGTACTAAGATGACAAAAAAATGCTTAATATGCAAAATAGAAGCATCTCCTATTTCCAATCGTAGTTTTCACATGTAAGTACATTAATATTTCTAACCTCAAAATTTAATAAATTATATATTTAATAATAAATTATATTTAATAAGTTATTGCAAATATATATATTTAATAAGAAATATATGTCGGCTCTCAATATTATTAATAATAATAATACATGAATTTTAAATAGGCCAATAGAGCCCAAGCGCAAAAAATTAATTCTTCGGAACTGTATCTCTTGGTTTGAGATTACTAAGTTCCATATATAAATTAATCTCGAACTTACATATGGAGAAAAATAGGCGAGAAAAATATAGGTCCGAAAAGTCGCTGAAGCGGGAATCGAACCCGCGTTTTTCACTTTCCAGACGACTGCTCTTACCAACTAAGCTATTCAGACTTTTTCGATCCTATATTTTTCATTTGTTTTTTAGTAGATGTTACTAAATAACGCCATGATTAGGCCCAGGCGTAAATAAATAAGAAATATATGTCGGCTCTCAATATTATTAATAATAATAATACATGAATTTTAAATCGGCCAATAGATATATATTTAAGGTTTATAATTTTTAATGTGAAACAGGTTTCCAAAAAATGAATTATGCCAAATTGTGTCGTCCGGATGGAAAAACTATGTAGTCGTGTCTCCGCACACAACCTGATAACAGAATTCAAAGCCAAAGCAAAAGATGGCGCTCGCGGGCCGCGCGCCCGCGCGCCCTGCGTGCCCTTGCAACTCATTGTGTTCTGTTCGTTAACCTGTCAACACGTGTAATCTCATTCCGAGTTTTTAGTATTCAGGTTTTTCACTATTACGATGCCAAAGCATAGGAGCAGTAGATGACGATCCTTGAGACATACGGAGGAGGAGGGGATCTATCACAAACACCGTCCGAGTGCCTCTTTGCGTGACAGACGGTCTCGAGACCGCTCACGTCGTGGCATAAGCTCGGACAGTGTCCATTCTTTGGACAAAGAAGGCTCCTTGAGGGATTCTTCTGTGCGAGACTCTCACTTCAGAAAGAGAGTTGTACTCAAATTCTCGAACAGGTTTGTAACCTTCTCGACCAGAACCTTCGGCAACCCTTGCCGGAGGTTAGGTCTCCTAGAAAAACCGTCTTGTTTAGCGAGGACGATGTGGCGCCATCCATTATATCGGCCGTAGAACCTTCCGTAGGAAGACAGACGGTCGCACAAGACCGGGGTTTTGTACCAGGTATGTCCACTTGTCGACCCACCTTGTCTTTTCTTGTGGCAAAGAGTGGACATAACTGACTGTAATTTTCTGCTTGGTTTCATTTTTAGAGACGCTGGATCTCACAGATGGAAATAATCAGCCCATAGATGAGGTCGTAGAGCCTCAGGACTCGAGTCTCGAGACTCTCGGATTCACAGGCATTAACCAAAGAGCTATTCGGGGGTAAACAGTCACTTACCACCTTGTCTACCTGGAATCCCTTTATGTTAAATTCCATCCAGAAGAAGGCTCAAGTTGGTCTAAGCGAGGACATACGATCTGGCCTGCTTTCCAAATACGAAGCAAAGGAGGACCTGGTGGCGCTGGCCCCGCCCACACTTAACAAAGAACTGGTCCCCGCCTTAGCACCTTCAGTTATTAAGCGTGACAAATATCAGATGCGGTCACAGGCACACGTGGAAGCATGCCTTAACGCCTTCGGATCCGACATATCAATTCTGTTAAAACCAGAAATTTTACATAACCTCAATGAAGAGGCACGTTCTGCTCTAACATCTATTTCAGAAGGTATGCATTTGCTCGTTGACCATCACTTCCGCCTTTTATTAGTTAGAAGGGCTTTTGCCAAGCCCTCCTTCAATATTCTTGGCAAGAGCGCAGCGAAGACAGCAGCCATTGATGAATTCTTGTTTGGGCAAAATTTTGCCGAGACCCTCAAAGCAGCGCAGGCCTGTCAAAGGGCGGGACGCGATATATCCAAGACGGCGTCTTTGGTGGGAAAGAAGACTTTTCAGCCAGTACGCCAGCAGGCCTCACAACAACGTTCAGCGCGTAAAACACAGGTTTCGGGAAACTGGAGGGCTCCTGTTCGTCTATCGACGACTCGCCAATTAGGAGCTCCTTACTTCAGGAGCTGTCAGCATCGCTCTCGATCCCGGGCACGACATCACCGATAAACGATGTAAGTACAGCCGGCCGTTTCCGCAGCTTTGTGACACAGTGGGCAGACATTACTAAGGATCAATCTGTATTAGAGGCAATACAGAGTTATCGGCTCCCTTTTACATCCACACCTCCATCAAGAACGTCTCTGAAACAGGTAGAATTCTCAAAATCTACTGAGAAATTTTGTCAACTAGAAATACAGCGCCTGTTGCGCAAAGGAGCTATAGAACCTATTGAGCCTTGTAAAGATCAATTCGTATCTTCTTTTTTCTTAGTTGACAAGCCGTCAGGGGATAAGCGCTTTATTTTAAACCTACGAGAATTAAATATTTACCTTAAGCCGCCGCATTTTAAACTTGAAGATTGGCGTACGGTTATTCGCCTTATGTTACCAGGTTCGTATATGGCTACGTTAGATCTGGAGGATGCCTATTTGTTAATCCCCGTAGAGAAACATTATAGAAAGTATCCTCATTTCCAATGGCGCAACACAACGTATGAATACACTTCGTTATCTTTCGGTTTGTCAACAGCTCCGTATATATTCACAAAGGTCATGCGGCCGGTAGTATCCTATTTTCGTCACAAGGGTTTTCATTCAGTAGTTTACTTGGATGATTTCTTTCTTTGGTTCATCCCTGGAGGAATGTCAAATTAATGTTAACATCTCTATGAATTTGCTTCTCTCTTTGGGCTTCAGAATAAACTACTCGAAGTCTCAGTTGCAACCATCGAATATTTGCAAATACTTAGGTTTGTATTTAATTCTAAAGAACAATCTATTTCAGTTCCCTTTCAGCGTCGGGAAAAATTATCAAATCTCGTGTCAAGCACGGCCCGCAGGTCCAGTTGTTCTATAAGAGATTTTGCAAGCTTAATAGGATCGCTCATCTCAGTGAGCCCGGCTATACAATATGGTCTTCTATATACGAAGAAATTTGAACGAGAAAAATTTCTAGCGCTACTCAGGCACAGCGAAAATTTCTCAGCTCTGATGGAAATTCCTTCTAATCTTCAATCGGACTTCAGATGGTGGATAAAGATTCTTTCAGACTCCAATCAATCATATCCGCTCAGGAAGATTTGTTCGGGAAATTTTCTCGGACGCGTCTTTGAACGGTGGGGGGCGACTTGCGCAAAATTGCGCACACACGGCTAGTGGTCGACAGAAGAGAGGTCGCTTCACATCAACTCATTAGAGCTTAAGACAGCCTTTAATGCCCTTCGTTGTTTTGCAACTAACCTGAAAGATTGTGACATTCTTCTCCGTATTGACAATACTTCAGCAATAGTCTATATCAACAGGTTTGGTTCTATCAGTACCCACATCTTTCGAGCATTTCAAGACAGATCTGGCAATGGTGTGAGGAGCGCAATATCTTTGTTTTTGCATCATACATATCTTTAGAAAACTATATTGCTGACGTAGAATCTCGGATCACAGATCCTGATACCGAATGGGCCCTGTCACAAGTGGCCTTCCAGCAAATAGATAGAGTTTATGGTCCGTTTGATATAGACTTATTCGCATTCTTACTCAACGCTAAGTGTAGTACTTATGTCTCATGGTTCCCAGACCCACGTTTGTTTGCGGTAGATGCATTCACTCTCTCATGAAGAGAATTAAATTTCTACGCTTTCCCATCTTTTATCTTACTACCTCGCGTTCTAAAAAGATTGTAGACGAAAAAGCATCCGGGATTTTGATGGTTCCTTGGTGGCTTTCGCAGGCTTGGTTCCCCCTGTTCCAAAGTCTGCTAACATCGGATCCATTAATTTTCTCACCTAATCAATCCTTGCTCTCTTCACCTTTTAGGGCTCATCATCCAGTGTGGAGATCGCTTTCTCTGGCTGTAGGAAGATTATTGGCGAGGCTTTTATAAACCGCTTAATTCCGAAGGCAGCCATTCCAACAATGTTGGCCTCTTTATCGGAAGCAACCATCAAACAATATTCTTGACCTCTCAACCAATGGTGAAACTTCTGCCAATGCCAGTGTTTATCCATCCATTCACCGACAGTTACGCACTCTGGATTTCCTAGCGCAAGAGTTAGAATCTATTTTATCGTATTCATCCCTAAATACAATGAGGTCCGCAATATCGTTAATTTCTGATAACAAAATTGGGCAGCATCCAGCGATCAAACGTTTTTGCAGAAGCATTGCATCCTTGAAACCACCACAACCGAGATATGATTGGGTCTGGGATCCAGTGCCGGTAATTGCAAAGTTAGTTCTTATCTATCCGTACGACTCATATCCACTAAATACTATTACCAGAAAGATGGTTCTTCTTTTGATCCTTGCCACAGGGCAGCGTGTCCAAACACTCGCTTCGTTAAAGATATCGCAAATTGTTTTAGGCGATAAGTTATTTATGCGAGTTCCAGATCGCATTAAGACATTTGCTCCCGGTCGTTCTCAGCTTTCCTTTTGTTTTTCTTGGTTTAATGGACACGAGCAACTTTGTATTGTGCGTATTGTAGAATATTACTTAAACAAGACAAAGGATTTGCGGCCCTTAGGATGCGATTCTTTTCTTATTTCCTGCAATAAGCCTTATAAAGCAGTCACAACCCAGACTGTGAGCCGCTGGATTCGACAAGGATTAGAACAAAGCGGTATAGATACTAGCAATTTTACGTCACATAGCACTAGACACGCATCAACCTCGTGCGCGGCAAGGAAGGGAGTTACGTTAGATTTAATCAAGCGTGCAGCAGATTGAACTGGCACATCCCGCACGTTTGCAAATTTCTATAATAGGCCTATCATTAACCCTGAGGAGTTCAGTAACGCAGTTTTATTATCATTAAAAAAACACTAAAATAGCGAGAGTTCGGAACCTCATTATTTTTTTTTAAGATAACGAGTTTATATAATAGACTAGTTTGTATAATAGACTAGTATAATAGAATTTTTACTTTTGTTACTACTGATAAGCACAACTTCAATATTATATTAAATGTAAGATGTTTTTCTTTTCACATTATATATTTTACAGTAACAAATCGCAGTTATGAATAACTACATAGTTTTTCCATCCGGACGAGAAAATTCGGCATAATTGTTAGATTGAACAAACTTGTGAAGTGCGATCCTAATTATACCTTTTGTTTTGTCCGGATGGACTCCCACCCGTTCTTTTTCTTCTCCCCATTTTATTGCAATTTGTCCTTAGGCTTTTTGAACTTATGAGTTGCAAGGGCACGCAGTGCGCGCGGGCGCGCGGCCCGCGAGCGCCATCTTTTGCTTTGGCTTTGAATTCTGTTGTCAGGTTGCGTGCGGAGGCACGACTACATAGTTTTTCCATCCGGACGAGACAAGAGGCATAATTAGGATCGAACTTCACAGGTAAGTTTGTTTAATCTAACAATTACTTAAAAAAAAAAAATGGATGGTTGCTATAAATTTATCAACATCTCCAAACTTCAAAACTACATATATATGCAGCGATCACTTTGATGACAAATTTTTTAATTATTCTGATGAATTCAGAAGCAGAAAACGACTACGATCAGAAACTGTTCCAAAAAATATATATTTTAATCAGTCTTATTTGTCAGAGAATATTGCAAAAGAGCCAGTAACAGATTGTGATAAAGAAATTAAGATACGTAGAGAAAAGATGCCTGTGAATTCAGTTGATAAAGACTCTTTAAATAATCAAGATTGTTCATATAAACTGAATAATAATAATGTAAGTAGTGACACAAACAATAAAAAAAGATAATTAATTCTCTTTTACAGTAATAATAAAGTATATATAAATTATCATACATATATTATATATATATATTATTACAAAATATTACAATATAAATATTTGATATTTTTAATATAACTACATTACAGATAAATTTAAAAATTTAAATTTTTAGAAAAAATTCATTAACAAATAACAAAGCTGTAAAAAGAGTGCGCTTTATGAATTGTTTCAAAACCGAATATATTTCTCAAGAATACTTTGTTTCTGATGAAGCTTGGAATCGATTCTTAAAATTCACAACTTATGAAAGATCTAAACTAGCAGCTGCACATAACAAAAACTCACAATAAGAAAAAACAATTAAAAGTTTAAAAGTTTTGATAAAAGATTTGGAGAGAAAAGGAGAATTGAATGCTGCCGAATATTTAAAGGTTTTTTAAGATTAATTATATAATTTTATTTATATATATCATGAAAATATATTCGCTGAAAAAGGATTTTGGTTAAATGATAAAATTCTGGTTAAAAATTGTATATAAATTAGAATTTTCTAAAAATAATCTTAATAATTAATTTTGATAATATTTATAGGATTATTAATTTTTATAATAAGAAATACTTATCTATTTATATATATGTATTATTGTGGATTATATAAAATGTGTAATAGAAATTCGAATTTTAATTGTATATGTACGTTATATAATATTTATACACAATCGGGGCGGTGGGTGGCCGTGCACGTTGCGTCACCGAAATTCGCCTGAGGCGAAGAATAGGTGGAACGCAGGTTCGAATTCACCCAGACCCCGGTAGGATTAAGGAAAAAGTAAGTCGTCGGTGGCTGTGCACGCTGCGTCGCCGAAGTTCGGTTAAAAACGACTAGTATAGCGGAACGCAGGCTCGAACCCACCAAGGACGCTATAGGTATTATGTAATTATAGGATAAGTTAAAAAATGTAATATATATTTTATAATAAGAAATAAAAGGAAAAAAGGATGGATTAAAGTCTCTTGGGCGTGAAGCTGGGGACTCTAAACAAAGTAAAAAAAAAATATTTATACACAATCCTTTTATATTACTTTTCATAAAACAGTATACAAAATTTATTTAATATTTTATTTTATAGGATTTGCCACCACATGTACAAGAATTATTAATACGCATGGAAAGAACGTAAACCAACAGCTCCTTTTTCTGCCAACCTTAAAACTTTGCTAGAACTCTTCATTTTCATTTACTAGCTGCATACAAAGCAGTTAGACGTAATTATCTTAATTGCTTACCTCATACTAAAACACTTAATAAGTGGATCTGTGCAAGAGAATACAAACCGGAGATTTTCGAAGAAATTATTAATAATATCTGTAATATTGTTAAGCAAGAATCAGAGAAAGATAAAAACTTGTTTTTAATATAACTTTTGATGAGATAAATATTAAACAGCATAAAGAATGGGATAGAAATACACATTCGTAGAAGGGTCTTGTAGATTTTGGTGGACAACTAGAGGAAATAAAGAAAGATGGACAGCTTAAAGTTGCCACTAAAGTATTAATTTTTATGTTAGTTAATATAAATGGCGGATTTAAAACTCCAGTAGCCCATTTTTTGATTAATTCTTTGAATGGTGTAGAAAAATCGATTCTTTTAAAAGATTTATTAATAAAACTAAATAAAAAAAGTATTAATGTAGTCAGTGTAACATTTAACGGTGATAGAGCCCATAAAACAGCATGCAACTTATTAGGCGCTAATTTAAATTATAAAAATAAAAATAAAACACAATCTCTTCTCAACCGTACTGGCAAATAATTTATTGATATTAATCACTACGTTTCGACCATAATTTTTGGTCCTTTTCAAGTAAACTATAAAAAAATATACAATACAGAGTCATTAGTAATTAACGTAAACCGCAAATTATAAAACAAAACGAATATAAAAATATATACTTGCGAACAATAATTATACTCCTGAGATGTCAAAGAGAGAGCATAGTGTCAAGTTTAACACACGTCTAATACATTGAACAGATTTAAACTAACTAAACGACCTTTATTATTTGTGTAAATGTTATTTAAGTTGTCAGTATCCTTATGTAAATTTATGGTATTATTATTTTTCTTAATAAAAAACATTTCAGCACAATCTCTTTTTTCTAACATGTTTTTTATTGTGTAAAATACTAGGAGAAGACCAATCAAAGTCATGATCAAAATCAATCTTATGTTTGGTAATTACTGAAAAATTACTCGGATGTTTTTTAATATTACTAAAATGTTCTTTTATGCGTGTACACAGATGTTTTTTTGTTTGCCCAATATATGAGGCGTCGCAGTTTTTACAATTAATCTTATAAACCACTCAGTCTTCTTTTCCATAGGTAATCTATCCTTACCCAACGTTATTAAGCACTTTAATTTTTTAGGTATATTATGTACAACATTAAGCTAACCTTATTAAAAATCCGATCGACGTCATTTAAACAACTAACGTATGATAAAGATATGAAAGAAGGTTTAGTTGTGTTGCAAATCCTATTTATTCTATTAAAAGAACAATGCTCTAAAAAATTGAGTCCTTTTTGTACCCAACGTTCAATGATTTTTCGGGAAGCAATTATTAGATAAAATTCGTTTAACAATATTAATATTCTCATAATGAAACTGCTTGTCAGACAATAAAACCGCGTGGTCAACAAGATTAAAAATAGTATTCATTTTATATTTAAAGGAATGATGCAAATAAAAATTCATATATTTATTAAAACAAGTAGTCTTTCTATACCAATTAGTAAGAAGCTTCCCATTAGATCGAATGACCGTTGTGTTTAAAAAATTGATACGCCTATTCAATTCTACCTCATGAGTAAAGTTCAAACGATGGTAAAAATTATTAAAAGTCTTAATGATCTCGTCAATTTTTGCACTCGGAATTATAGTAAAAATATCATCCACATATCTATAATAAGTAGAGACATTAAAACTCAATTGACATAAACATTGTGTCTCAAGGTCATCCATCACCATATTAGTCAAGATAAGTGACAGTGGAGACCCCATTGGGCTACCGAAAATTTGTTTATAAAACTGTCCATTAAAAGCAAAACTAGTAGAATCCAAAATAAATTCCACCGCAAATAAAAACTGAGAAAGATTAAAATTCGTGTTAGGTGAGATATCATTCCAACGTTTTTCAATAGCTTTCAAAACCAAACCCTTAGGAATATTATATCCAAATTACCTCTTTCGGAACAGTTGAAAATTCAAATCATCGATGAAAGCGCGACGAGAAGACAACTTAGTCAAGCCGACGACCAAGCAATGTTCGCTCGGAAACGAAAATCGAACAAAAGAAATATCCCCAATAAAGTACCTACAAGCCAGCCAACTTACCTGTCTATAACGTGTCCAGTTAATAATTTTCCATTACCACATGCCATAGCAACTTGCGTACTATCACTAGACCAAGCTATACCGTAAATGCTGCCAGTATTCACTTTTTCCATAGAATGTAACCACTAAAATGTAACAATAATATATTGTTTATTGTTAATAAACCAAATTTATAATATAATTAAAAAGTATTAAAAATAATAAATTCAATATAAGATAATTGTAAATTGTTAGATATGGATGTGTTATTCAATACATAATGTATACTTCACTATATATATATATATATATATATATATATATATATATATATGTATACCTTGACTTTGACCTTAATAGTAAATTTGAAGGTTATTTGAAGGTCAACTTGATTTTCTTAAATAAAACTACTAATTTTTCAAATCATATTCTGGTAGCTGATGTCGAGACCTTTCCAAAATCCTATAATAAAACATTTTTCCATTAAGTACTTTTTGAGTTATAAAGGTTTAAAATTAACAATTTTGGACATAAAATGCTTTCAAAAAAATATATTGCAAATTACAAACATCCTTTTTAAAGCAACTATGTTTTCTTTACATTGATTAATTGGTCTCATTATTGCGTGCATAAACGTATTAAGGTATAATTACCAAAAAGTAAATATTTTGCAAGATATTTTACATTTTGTTAAAAAATTGTTAATTTCAAACCTTTATAACTCAAAAAGTACTTAATAGAAAAGTAACTAAAAATGTTTTATTATAGTGTTTTGGAAAGAAATATAAAAGAAATTGGTGGTCTTATTTAAGAAAATCAAGTTGACATTCAAATGACCTTCGAATTTGACATTACGATCAAAGCCAAAGTCGTCAGGTTGTCCCCTTCTGAACCCTCCAACTTTTGTATAAAACATATTATTCTATACTACTTATTTTATAAGATAGTTGCATGGATTGATTAAAATGTTCCACCCTGTATATGTATAAATATATATATATATAATTATATATATATATATATATATATATATATATATATATATATATATCATTCACTATTCACTTTTTGACCATCCTATAATATATATATATATATATATATATATATATATATATATATATATATATATCATTCACTATTCACTTTTTGACCATCCTATAATATATATACAGGGTGATTCACGTAACAGTCGCCACGATTTTTGGGACATTTCCGCCAGTTTAAAAAAGTTTATACAGTAAAACTTAATCTGCTTTACGCAAGCTATAACATGCAATAAAAAATTAAAAAGAAAAAATTTTTTTTATAAACAAATTAATGTTACTTTGAATTTTTTAAATAAAACCATCATATTTTTTTACACAAATTGATTCCTCACAATATTTTGCATAAAAAATTATAAGAATAAGATGGTCAAAAAGTGAATAGTTTATGATATATTTTATATTTTAATGTTATAAGATGGTCCTCGTAACGATCACCACGATTTTTAGGTAATTTACAATAATCTGACAAAAAATTTCATTAATCAAAAATTTACCAATTTGTAACCGTCAACAACAATAATTTAATTATTGCATACAATTTTACTTTATGTTGCATTTCAATTTAAAATTAAGAATTTTAAAGCTTGTACAGCGTAATTCTTTGCTATCAAGGAAGTTTTCTAAAAACATAAATAGTAAATAGACTCGACTTTGTCCTTATGTTACCATGTAGCTTAGCTATCAATCTGATCAGGAAATTTTTAGTATCAGTTTATCTAGTATCAATTTAGTGTGTCTAAAACCTGATATAATGAATCACTATTGTAATACGGAAAAAGTAGATGTTACTAGTATTTGGCGAGTGCAGAAGAAATGCACGCAATGCAGTGGCTTTGTACAGAGAATGATATCTGAATAAAACTCATCCTTCTGCAAAAAGTTTTTATAATACTGAGTGTTCTTTACGTTTACATGGCATGTTTTCATTTGGAAAACGTGTCAATCGTACTAGGCCAGTTACTAATGATAATAACGCTGTGTTAGTACTGGCCAATTTTGAAGTTGATCCGCATACTTCTACTCGAGCAGTCGCTGCAGAAATGGATATATCACATTGTTAATTTTGAATTAAAATGTAACTTAAAGTAACATTGTATGCAATCATTAAATTATTGTTAAATTTATTGACGGTTACAAATTGATAAATTTCTGATTAATGACATTTTTTGTCAAATTATTGTGTAACGGCATCGCCGTTACTATCGCCTCGCGAGCCGAACATCCGCCCGCCACGTGAGGCTCTGGCGCCTAAGGCGTCCCCTAAACGCCATACACGGACAGCCCCACTTCGGGGGCGCCCCACTACTGCGCCGTTGCGCTACCTCCGACGCATGGCGGGTGGCCGCCGACCGGGTATATAAGCCAGCTCGACGGATGAGCCGGCACCAGTCCCGTTCCAGATTCCTATACCAGGCAGTGGGCTTCAGCTGGACCCACACGCCACTCTTGCCTTAACTGGCTGGACACACGCCACACTTGCCTTAACTGGCCGGACCCACACGCCACTCTTGCCTTAACTGGCTGGACCCACACTACAGTACACTGTAGCTTTCAAGCCTCACAACTCGGAAAGTACTCAACGAAAATAAACTTTCTT